CTTGTTTCTCCAACACTGGGTCTCACACCAAAACAACAAGAAACAATTGAAAAATCTCTGCTGAAGAAAGCAAGAGGAAGTGGGTTGTCACCAGCTGTTCAAAGACAAGATCCTGCCACAAATGTGTAGCAGCAGATGCCATGTGAAGCATGGGGAATGTAAACGCGTATGAGTCATCACATAAGGTTGGAAGGGGTACAAGCTGCAGGCCAGATCCTGGGGAAAAAAAGATATTTTGGCTTTAATAGTTTCTCCACTTCCTTTGTACTTTGTTCAAGTACACAGTGTATATATATATTTTTTTTTTCTTTTGGAAGAAGGTTTCCTTAAGCCCTGTTAAAGAACCACAAGCATGAGGAACGTATCTTACAGAGATAATATGCAATGAGCCTATCACATCGAAAAGATGGTCCAGTATCATTTTCTGTCCGGCAGGGAAAGTAGTTTTAAACAATTCTCCCTCTCCCCTCTTGTTTTATGTTAATGATAATAACAAAAATTGTTAAAAGAATATTTTTTATAATTGGCAACATTTCATCGATTTGTTTTCCACATCATGGTCATAAGTAGCTCAACTGGCACACTGGGAAAAAAATAGAAAATTGCTGTAGTAGCAGAAATAGAATAGCTACCCCCTGTGTCTGACACTGATAATCCCAAGTGTCCCACCTCAGTTAGGGTGCCCCTTGCCAAGGGGGAAAGTCTTTTTAATGGTTAAAGTATGATGGGACTTCAACTGCAGTAGGATGTGCTCCCAGAAATTTCAGTTAAACCCTGTTTCTTTAAAAGAAATGGGAAGGAAAAGACAGAGGGAGAAGTCCCAGACTCAGCTCCTGCCTTGGCTGTCTCAGCAGTATATACCTAGGCACACTTATGCTCTAGTCATTATAAAATACACACTGCTTTACACAATCCCATAATCTTATAACAAAATAGATCATTGAGGATTATCAAATTTTCATGTTTAATTACAAATTTCTTTACTTGTTTTTGCCCAGCAACACCAAGCTCTCATGTAGAGAGGAGAAAAAAGGCATTAGCAGAAGACTGCATAGGGGTTGACTTTTTTGTATCATGCTACCATGTGACAAATCCCGAGAATTACTTCCTGCCAGCTGCCCTGAGGCAGCCATTCCTGATTTCTCCACTGAATTCAAACTATTTAACAAAACAAACAGGAAGAGGCTTTAAGATTGGTAAGCCCTGGGGAACAAATTAATTGGAAAAGGAATGAAATCAGTTTCTACTGCTCTTCATTCCTTGCTTGTCAGACATGATGTTGAAAGAAGCTGCTAGTGGCATTATGTACGATTCAACCCAGATTCTTCTCCCATGATGCAGTCACTTCTCTGATCATGTTTACCATGGCTGGTGGTTGGGTTGCCACCATTGGAAGGGATGGGACAGCATGGGAAAGCCTGGCAGCACCCATGATTGGTCCTCATACCTGAAAGGCAAACTGCAAGGTAGCCCAAATCTATAGCTCACTGTGTTTCATACTTCAGTGGTAAAAGCGGACCACAAAGCAGTTGTCATACTTCCAAAGGAGGGGAAGTCTAGCCTGACTTGGTTTTGTCATAAGTGATTAGATTTTATATTGTGCTTATGTACTTCTAATCAAATTTACATGTTGGTTCAAAATCAGCCTAGCAGAAAACCTCTCATTTTCTCACCCATTCTACTTCACTTATGACCTGGATTTCTCAAAATTTTGAGGTTTTGTTTTTTTTTTTTGTTGTGGTTTGTTGGGGTTTTTTGGTTTTTTTTGTTTTTTTCTTTTTTTTCCCTGACCAGGCCCAGTTCTGTTTAGTTTATAAAATTTGAAACATTCATAGCCCAGGGTTCCAAAAGCAGTGAATATTTATCTTCCCAGCACACTCAGAGGTGTCTCACAGCATGACTTCACATTAGAAGTGTCCCACCTGTGGGGATCATTCAAAAAACCATGGATTACAAGTCTGTACAACAAATAAGAAGATCAATACCCAAATTATGGGTGTTATTAACTTAAAAAAGGTTGTATATCTGATGATACACTGTACCAACACTGATTTATAGATGCTGTACTAGCACAACTCTCCTCTGTGAAGATAGCATTTCAGCTATTAAGTTAGAATCATAGAATCACAGAATAGTTAGGGTTGGAAAGGACCTTAAGATCATCTAGTTCCAACCCCCCTGCCATGGGGAGGGACACTTCACACTAAACCATCCCACCCAAGGCTTCATCGAACCTGGCCTTGAACTCTGCCAGAGATGGAGCATTCACAACCTCCCTGGGCAACCCGTTCCAGTGCCTCACCACCCTCACAGGAAAGAATTTCCTCCTTATATCAAATCTAAGTTATAACATTATTTCCCAGTTCTTGTTCTGTGCCTTCTCATGAATGAGCTGCAAATGACACAATGCACACCTCTCACCATTTACAAAGGTATCCCCTACCTCCAACAACAAGGAACAAAAAGGGTTTCTCAGCTAGCTTCAGAGCACACTGAAATATTACAGTTTAAAGAACACAGTGACTAGTGACAAATCACAGGCAGGACTCCAATGATGACAGTTGCTTAGAAAATCCTAGAATGGTTTGAGAATACTGTAAGCAAAACTGTGTGGCCCTGCAGGTATCTTCTGTTAATTTGTTGCAAGTATTTTTCCCTTTACAGACTGATGCCACACTTAAGAAAAAGCAACCCCCACACCATCTATCTCCAAAAACGCAAGAAAACCTTAACATTAATGAGATTATTTTCCTATTCAAGGCAGAGCAACGAAGTTTCCTGTCACTTTTAACACTTGACAAGCAAATATGGTTCCTTCCGTTTTGCAGACAGGAAATTAAGGTGCAGCAGTGGCACTGGAATTAGCAACTATCTAGAGGCCATTTTAGGCCAAGAAAGTTTTGCCATTGATTTTAAAGCACCAAGATATAATGTATCCTCCAGTATCCTGCCCTTTCCTATTTTTCCCAAACTTAGGGTGAACCATTAAATTGATGCTTGCCCTGTAAATCCCATAAACTATTAATGCAGTTCCCTCAGCCGGAAGATAGATTAATGACCTGAAACTACTGTGCAATATTTGCTACTTCAGTGCAAATTAATATCATATTTTACACTCATTTTATGTCCACATCCAGCACTTCCTCCTGAAAAGGATACCAGAAGGAGCTGGATATTTAAATGTCAAAGTTCTAAATCTTATCTTCAAATTTTTAATCAAACTGTTTAACACTTGAGTCTTAAACTTCTGTGTTTCCTTTTTTTATACTTTTCCCATCTCACATTTTTCTGCTAAGAACAGAGAAAAAATTAAAAGTTCACATGTGCTTAGGAGTTTTTTAAAATACTAATAAAGTTTTTTAAATGCTTTATGTTCTTCAGAATTTCATGCTCCTCTATACTCCACGGCTTGGGCTGGGACTGAATACAGATGTCTTCTATTTCACCCAAGTCTAAGTTTTAAAGTAGATAGTCTTAAAGTTTCTGGGTATTGCATGCTATACTGCAAAGTCCGTCCACAGTCTCATATCTTTTTTTTTTCTTTTAAATATCTATTATTCTTCTACTGCCTAAACCAACATAGTTCATTAAATACATTTCTCTGATATTGGATGCAGTTTCTGGAGAAAGCAAACGCATGAGAACATTAAAATGGCTGGATGCGTAAGACACGTTTAGTTATAGAAGACTCCAGTCAAGTCTCATTTCTGTAGGAATTAAAAATTATGGCAAAGTCTCAGTTTCTCAGGCAGGCACATCAGGCTATTACAAGAAATAAAGGAAGTGGCAGTGGAAGAAAAGTCAAAGTTGTTTTCTCTCACTTCAAACCCTCAAAATAATAATAATAATAATAATAATAATAATAAGAAGAAGAAGAAGAAGAAGACGAAGAGGAAGAAGAAGTAGTAAAAAAATCACAGCAAAAACCCCAGCAGTTTGAAATGAAACTATGCATTTTGTTTTATCTATTTTTTGCTATTATTAGAATTTATGAAGAAAACATAGCCACTTTACAAAGGCTTTATTGTTGAATCCTCATACTCTATTTTGGCACCAGCATTGCACTTAATCAAGCTGCCTTGTAACCCTCATTAGACGTATCGGGGATCATGGTCAAAGCACTTTCTGGGAGCACATTTCGGACACTCGCCCTTCTCTTTATTAGAAACATCCTTCACATCCAGCCTAAACATAGTCAAAATATACTAGAATAGACTATTTCAGTTGGAAGGGACCTACAAGGATCACCTAGTACAGCTGTCTGAACAAGTCAAGGCTGACAAAGCTAAAGAATGTTGTTAAAGGCATCATGCAAATGTTTCTTAAACACTCACAGGCATGGAGCATCAACCACCTCTCTAGGAAGCCTGTTAGTGTTTGACAACCCTCTCAGTTAAGAAATGCTTCCTAATGTCAAGTCTAAACCTCTTCTGGTGCAGCAGTCAGTAGTGACTCCTGACTGTAGGAGTTGTATCTGCTTCCTTTGTCAGGCTAGTGATTTTTTGTTTAGTCTCTTGACATCCCATTTCCCAATTGTGCTCTTTCTCACTGCTCTTCAAAGCAGCTAATCCTCTCCACAGTTCTCCCTCTAGTGACTGGTTTCCTCCCTGTCCTTGTTGGCATGCTCCTGTGGGTTGTTCTTTCTATCTGTGAATAAACCTGTCACATCTTCCTGTTCAACAAGGGCGTCTAAGTCTTTCTGTCTTCTCTTTCTCACATAATTTCCTCAGTGGCCATCTGAATGCCACCATTTGTGTGACTGTACAGTCTAGTTTTTCTCCCTTCCAGTTTGTGAAGATACATTGGCAATTGATTGTGCCATGGCCTGAGATTCAGCTCAGTGATCTGACCATGAGAAATTACCAGATGTGGCAGAAAACAGAGCAAGAAGTTAGCAAGTGTTATGGGTAATATCATGAAGAATGACTGAATTTCACAGATGGTTAAGAGAGAGTGATGTGAAGATGCCAAATGGGAGGTTTAGATTGGATATTATTCACCAAAAGGATTATCAAGCGCTGAACAGTCTGTCCAGGGAAGTGGCTGAGTCACCATCCCTGGAGGTATTTAAAAGACATGTAGATGTGGTGTTTAGGGACATGGTTTAGTGGGACTTGGCAGTGTTAACAGTTGGACTCGATGGTCTTACAGGTCTTTTCCAATCTAAATGATTCTATGATTCCATGAAATTTATTGGCTAGGTACCCTATCAGAAACATCACGTTTGGATACAGAGGTGGCAAAAGTGAGACATGGGGAAAAAGTAATCAGGGTGGGTTTTGATTTGAGAGGAGACAATATTAGAGAAAGGGAAATGATCAAGGTAAATAGGAGAACGGGCATGGGAAATGGAGCAGAAGGGTACAAAAGGAGCCAACTGAGTTGCTGGCCAGTATGCTTGAGCTCTGCACATGATCATCTCAATCCATTCTATCTTCTTATTCAACTCAACTCCTAACTATTTTCTGTTAGGCTTTGCCTAACATGGGAATTATTGCACAGACACTCCTTGTGAGAAATAGCTGCAGTCAGGTGTCTGCAGTTGGATGATCTATTGCCCACAGCTTCTGTATCCCGTCATCCTTGTTTGCTTCATTTTTTTTTCCCTTGAAGTTAGGAAAGAGAGATAAAAGACTACAGCAGCAAGGGAGGTAGCAGTGCAGGGAACATGAAAAAACAAACTCCCCCATAAAATCCTATCCAGACACTGCTGTTTATTGCTGTTGGTTCATTGGTGCCCAAGTTGCTAAGCTGTTTGGCAGGGAAAATCAGAACATACTGGACTCCACTCTGCTGTAGCCAGCATGCTTTCAGTACCCAACACAATTAATTTAATGTAGGTTTGAGTATCTCCGCACTGCAGCACTGCCATACTCTGTTTCAACAAGGAAGATAGAGAGCTAAACAGCTACACCTCCACTCGAGGCTTCCTCTTGTTCTTTTATCCTAGAGGTAACACTACAAGCAACGCCAACAAAAAGAAATAAGAAAAAATAAATTGGCAGTAGTATTGCCCCTGATATCTCAGTAACTTTAACTGGAATAATCTCAATAAATTAGATCATTTCAAGAGCCAGCAGAAGCTTTCACAAAAGCCACTGAGACCCAAACTATTTTATATACAATACTGACAAGGTGGAGGGGGGTAAAGGGAAACTTACTAAACCAAAATCCAGTGGGAAAAAATACAATCTTTGGGTTTCAGCCTTGATTTAATAATTGAAACATCACATTCCCTAAGATTACACGTGACATGCTGTGGCGTCACTTCTCTAATGTACCATACTCACAGACAACTCCCTGGTTTAGATGTTATTAGTCTGCTATCTGATACACAATGTGCATTAATTCTGCTGTTTCAAGGTAAATAGAAAGTCATGGCTATATAATGTGTAGATACCCATGCATTTGCATTTGTCTTTCTAATGGAGCCTTCCCAAATCATCAGTTTAAAAAGGCCAACACCATTTGGCTGGTACCATTCTCTTGAAACCCAAACTGTTTGAGAAGATAAATTATTGTTACGACATGTATAACACCTGACATATTTTACCCACTGAAATGTGCTATAAAATATGTTTCCAGTGACTGTCAGGGAAAGTAAGATTGGTGTTGGCTGCCACTAGTGACAAGTCCCTTCCTCCAGCTTATTGCCTGAGTTTTACAAAGCTCCCATAAAGATTTATCAACACCCATGAAGTCAAACTTGAGGAAAACCTTGACCTGGGCTCTCAGGTACTTCCACAAATTCTTTTCACTTTAACCTGTGAAATAGATGCTGTCTTTTGACTCTTAGCTCAGTGTGAGAGGATGACAAGGAGCAGAGTCTGGGCTTTTGCTCAGTAATGATACTGCTGCTCTCCATTTGTCAACCAGCCAGGGACAGTTTGTTGTGCAAGCGTTATCATTTTACTAAGCAGATCCCCCGTGTCACACTACAGCTGGCAAATAGCAGAAACAGAATTAGCTCCATTAAAAGCATGTGCTGTGCACCAGCCTTCAAATAGGACACGCTTCCCACATTTCTAGTCTTCACTCTGCCTTCTCCACATCCCCCTTGACACCACAACTTTTAGAATACCAAGTTTGAAGGTTTTCAGCCTCCGGAAAAAGAAAACCGAAAACACATAGCAGTCACACAGTGAGAAAGCTATCTTTCACAAAATGTTATGTTTAAGATTGATTCAGAATCATAATGGAATGACCTCACCTGGGAAAAGGGAGAATATAAAGTTAATTAAAGTGCTGTCCAGCTGGAACTTGAAAATTCTTCAACAGAGGGAATATATCATACCTTGCTTCTTCCCATGTACATTGAAAAATAGCAACTGCTGCGGATTTAATTAAAGCTTTGAGTTAGTTTTTAGCTAATACACTTTACTTGATTAATTATTATTCAATCCAGATACAAAGTTATAACCCACATCATGGAAAAGAATGTTTTCCTCCATTCTGATAAACTATGTGATTGCTGGTTTTGAATTTAGGCAGAGTTTTTTATAAAACCTGGGGAAACCTGGAGAACATAAATACACTAACTCAGCTGCTTTAAATTGGCCTTCTTCATTTGATTCAAAGGCAGAAGTTTTTGCTTGCTATATTTTCTCAATAAATTTTGGTTGTTTTTTCAGCAACATATTTCAAGCTAAAATGTCATATTTAGAGACAGGTACTCAGAGACTGCACAAACCTCCTTCTCCAGCAAAGCCTGTAAGTTAGGGTCCTTTGCTTATGAAGAACTATGCTGCAGTTAATTGATTACGGGCCCACCTCAAAGCACCAGTGTACTTCCTTACAACCTCTCTGTGGTTTCCTTGTTCCTTATGGAATCCAAAGCCCAGCTCACCAACTACATTTGCACATAATAAAGAAAAAAAAAAATCAAACACATTCCCTGTCCCAACAAACTATCAGCGCAACAACTCAGAGGCATTTTGGCATCAAGAGCAGTAGCTTTTATATCAGCATCCTTCAGGTCCAGTGTTACATTGTGAATAAAGGATGAATTTGAAAGCACCATGGGGGTGGATAACTCAATGTGCAGTTGCCCTGTTAGCTGTGGAGAGAAACCTGAACTGGTCCAAGATTGGTGAGCTTTACTCATTCACATACAGTGCTTCACCAACAGGACTCCAGTATTTTCAGAGGCCATTTGGAAAGCTTGAATTGAGCTGAGATGGCACCTAGCCAAGGTTAATAACATGCTCGAGACATTAGCTGACCTTGACCTGGTGTTTGCACTGCCCTCCTAGGCATGGGCATGCTGAGAAACCAAAAACAGACTACAACAATCAGTTTTCACCATCTGAAGGTGCTCTATACCATACTCTATGATGGTGGACCAGATTCACTTTTGCAAATTGAAAATGAATCCCTCTGGCCTAAGTGCTAAGTCAATTCTATGAGCTGAAGCCATTGCCTGCCTATCTGCCTCAGTGGCCAGGGAAAATGGTAAAACAACCACAACGCAGATTTACAGTGTACCTTCACTAGTGTTAAGCAGTAGAGGATACTTTTTACCCTTCTAACTTGACCGCCTCCCCAAACACACACAGAGAGTCTGTATTTCTTACTAAATTCTCCATTAGTGCAGTACACATCAGAGGCACAGTCAGTGAGCCTATATAGACCTGAACCTATAAAAAAAGACAACCCATGGTTTTAAAAAATATACATACTGAGAAAATTGTAGTTAAAGTGAAAATGTAAGCAAAGCAGGGTTCACTTTCATCTGGAGAGGTGAACAGCTTAACAAAATACATGCAAGGCTTCTAAGAATGGGGTAAATGGAAGAAAAAGTTGTATCCAGTAGTTATCTGGGATCCTACAGGGTCATGGTGTAAGTACCAGCTTTTCACAGCACAATCTGTAACCCAGATATTTTTAAAGGTGACAGGACTGGAAAATAAGGCCTCCACTACCTACAGTCTGACATAACCATCACAAAAAAGCAGAGGTGTCCACAGGGACACTTAACTGATGGTAAGGTGATGGGAAGAGGCTGAGGAGACACAGAAGGATCAGAGTCAGGCAGCTGTGGAGAAGAAAATGCTCTCTGATGCCTACACATGTGCAACGTGTCACACTGCTCACTTACAGGGACTGTTTCATTTCTTTCTTTGTTTTAAGTTGACCTATGGATTTAATAAATAAAAATGTAGTTAGGAAAAGTACAAATAAGAATAAAAGAATTTTAAAAGATGTTTCCCTCAATCATATTATGGTAGAAAGTAGGAAAGATAACAGCTGCTGCTCTCTGTGGCTTTCTGTCCTACTCCCCACCTCAGCAGTTACAATTTTATGTCGCATCAAAGATTCATAGAATATGGATTTAGATACAAGAAAATGATACCTGAATTTTAGAGGAACTACATACTCATATTAACATTTTTTAATCTTTGTGGTTTTCCATTGTTTCATATCCTTTGTAAAAGGAAAGGCAAAAACCTCACAATAATTCCTTAAAATAATAAAAACCTTTCTTTTGGTGTCTTCTGTCCTGTAGACAAATGAAAGAATACGAAACACAAGTTAATCCCCTAGTTTAACATAAAATGTGGTGGACAAATCCATACAAAGCATTAAACAGTGCTACTATACTTCTATTTAAGTTTTAGAAATGTGTTTCTGTGTGTCTAGGATAAACCAAGAAAATAGATAAAAAGACTCAGTACACCTTCTAATATTAAAAAAACCCAAACCAACAAACCCAAAACAAAGACAGACATGAAATTCATTAGATATGGAATCTGAAGTTAAAAAATCAGTATTCCTGAAAGTAATTTTCCACAGTCATAGCAGTGCAGAAAAACTAAATTTAAGGCAATATGGTAAACAGAAATATCACTTACGTACCTTCTTCTACAGCAAGAAGTACTGCTGACAAATATGCACAGCGTAAGAAAGTGTTACAACACTCAGGAAGATTCGCTTAGAAAAAATGCTTCTCTTTAGAAATTGTCTACTGCAGCCTTTGTATTTTCAGTAGGCTTATTTCATGTTAGCCTGTTTTAATCAACAAAAATCAACTCAGTGTCTTGTTTTAGAAACACCATATACACACGCTTACCTGTGGTGATGAAAGCCCCCAGGGCCTGAGGATGAACCACCCCACAGAGCACGCTGAAGAAAGCAGAGGTCCAGCAGTGGCTCAGACTCTCCACTGAGGGCATGTACAGGGT